TGGTCCTACTTCTAATGACGATTTTGTGTGTTACGACAATTTGATTTTCAGATTCTAACCCCAAAGAATGTTGTAACTTTCAAGTTCACTTGTATGAAGGTGCGACTAATGCCGTCAATTTACGGTATTCCAAGAATGATGTAAATGAATTGGAGGTCCTTAACACATTTTTGGTCTGTAAATGTTAACTTCTTGAAAATGTACGAAAGCTGTAAGAGTATATTTTTTAAACCAAAGCAGGTAACATTAAAATGGTGTTAGTGTAAATCACATGTCGTTTACATGACTTTTAAAATGAAAAGATCACAGTGAGTACAATGAATCAAATTGAATTTTAATACAATAACACAATAAAACACATCGTTCTTAAAACTAATGAATTATAAATTCCTTAAAATTCCATAAAAGAATAATAATCAAGTAATCATGCTCTTAATCATTTGTTTCTATTTTCCGTTTCTATATTTTCTATTTTTATACCTTGTACCTACAAGGAAAAGGTTTATCTACATGTTAAAGATTTAAAATTATTACGTGTCAGTATAAATTCAGTAACAAGTGCACTAACTAGGCAATGAACTAAAATAGTAAAAATATAGAAACATTTAATTGTAATCATAATTTAAATTAAAACCAACATTTTCATCCATTAAGCCGAGATCAAAATAAAAAAAAATTAATTTAAATCTGAATAGTGTCGTAATTCTTTGTCATATTCCATGAACTGCAACCCGGTTGTACATCATCAATATTTTCGGGTGGTAACTGGTCAACTGAAGGTTAGGTCCGGGAACTGTAACCCGCTTCTGCATTATTGGTCTCTGAGAAAGTACGTATTTCTATGATCATTTCAGAAGGTATTTTGAATCAATTTTTCTCAGAGTTTCTAAATGTGGGCGTCACATTACAAAGTTTTGTAGAGACCAGGTGGCCATCCCCGGATGGGTGGTCTAGCGTCCCCGCAGTCTACAAACCGATTGTACTCTCGTGTGGCAGTGTGAGCTTGCTGCGTGGTTGGACACAACTAATGCCTCGTTCAACTACCTTCCTCCTGCCTATTCGCTTCTCCAATTGAAATAAATCATGAAACACAAGAAAAGGATAAAAGTTACACAGCGGTTGTACGTCCTCCCACTAAAAGTGCACCTCACCAACACCCGAAGTCTGCACTCAAATCTCGATTCGGTCCACCATCATCTTGAAACGGATAAACCGCAGCTACTGTTCCTCACCGAGACGCAGATCATATGTCCGACTGATACTGCGTACCTCAGCTACCCCGGGTATACTCCGGAGCATAGGTTTCTACCTCGTGCCGGAGTCTGTGTGTTACTTTCGTGATGACATCTGTGTTAAGAACCTTGAGGCACCTACTTTTTCTGTTTTTTGTCTGGTTGATACAAAAGTTACAGCGGAACTGAGGGCCGAAGAGGAAGAGCCACTTCTGGAGCACATTACTCGATGGCGGACAAACATCCGCCGGGTCGTGTTCCGGAAGTGTCTAAAGAGGCTAGAAGAGCCGAGATCTGGCCACTGGACCATCGGAGCGATTCGACCCGTTCTGGGAGAATGGGCGGATCGATCCTGGAGTCTCCTTCCACCTTGCGCAGGTCCTGCCAGGGCATGGCTGCTTTGGTAAATACCTGTGCAGGGTCGGACGAGAACCGGCGGCCTTATGCCATCATTGTGGTAGCGCCGAAGATACGGCGCAACACACACTGCAGGCATGTCTGGCTGCAGGCATGTCTGGCGTGGGTCCAGCTGTCATCCCTGACCGCAGTGGTAGTGGTAGGACACGACCTCTCCCTGCCAACCGTAGTTCGAGCTATGGTCGGTAGCGAGACAGCGTATAGTGCGCTGGCCTCTTTCTTCACTGATGTAATGTCGCGGAACGGGAGCGAGGGGAAGATCCTTCCTCTCGTCCTATGCGCCGCAAACGCTTGGGGCGCAGGTGGCGGGCTTATGTCCGCCTTTTTTTTTCTTTTTTTTGACGTGGGGTACTCTTTATGGATACCCCTGAGCAACTGCCGCCCTGAGAGTGAACCCTGGGAGTCCAAAACGGCAGCTTTTGTCACCCATTAGATAAGGGTTTACGGGTTGGTTGGTGTGCCAAGTATTCCCGGCATGCCACTAATGATGGAGGGTGAATAGTGATCCCCCAGAGGTGAGTCCGCGGTGGTGGAAAATCACAGACGAGGCCGTGGATCGTAAGCCCCGTGACTACAGCCTCGTCCCACACGGGGTGTGGGAATACCCAGGGGTGTTTAGTGGGTAAGAGTCTCACGAACGCGCCACCCCGTGATGCGGTGATATCCATGACGGATTTTCCCCAGGAAAAAAAGGAGTTACCCAAATAGTGTACTACTGTGTCTACCGCTCGCACAGTGGAGATTAAGAGACGACCAAGTTGTTTCGACATCTCAGCGAGACGTCTGATGAGGCTTAGCTCAGGTATCCAGCTGCGCAACTAGTCGTTCTGACTTTGATGGAACTTTAATGCACACCAACAAGAATGTTTGTTCCCATACCAAATGACCGATCATGCTGGGAGAGAGACGCGAAAACTTACGTTATCGGTAAGACTTTCCCAACTTGTCATTGGCGCCACAAGGGTCCCTGATATTGAGTCTTACACGGCTAATTGCTGGGACCTACTGATCCAGACCGATACTGTGGTTGTGGATGCACCATGTGGGTACCTCTGACCACTGTCTGGTTAAAACTGTATCCGTATACTCCCTACCCGCTCAGGGTCAGTGTCAGTGGTACGAGACAGGTGTGGCGACACAGGTTAGCAGATTGGAACGAAATGCGCCATTTTTTTTGCTTCATATCCCTGTCAGGCCTGCTTTATTTCAGAAGATTCGTCGAGCTGTGCTGATGCTGTAGTTGAGGTCGTGCGATTGGGCAAGGAATATTACATACCATACTTCGATGTACCCAATGGACCCCAAGCTCGTCCATGGTTTAACCCTGACTGTAATCGTGCTGAACCGCAAAAACAGTCTCGGAAGAATGCCTTTAGTAAAGCCGCCAAGAAGAGCAAAGACGTATTACGCAGGGCCGAATTCGACCATGTGCGCCGCATAGGGAGCAAGCTTGCCTCTTTTCCAACAGGCAACAAGTCCTTTTGGTCCCTGGCCAAAAGCGGTCGAAACAAACTTTAGTAGGCACTCATTACCACCTATTTTATTATTGTCTATTTTATTATTATTTAAACTTTATGATATGAATGCTTAACATATCTACAGTCATTTAAACTATTGGTAGTAACGATTATGACGTAATCTATGCTATTGGCTGTGCCAGGGTTCATGCTATCTAGAAATAAAATTTTGTGATGCATGAGTTTGCTGAATAAATGATGATGGTTACTGTTATGTGGAGTAAGAAAAAATTTCATACAAAGATGGAAATGCAATACAGGTATAAACATTTCTTGTGTTAATGCTGTAGACTTAGTGTATAATAATCATCTATACATTTTATGAACATACCTACATATCACAATAACTTTGAACTTAGTAGGATTTCTCTGTCGAATAAAATCATCGTGATCATGGTGATTGGAGTAAATTTCACAATAATTTAACTTTCTTACTTATTTAAGTAAGAAAAAAAGTTAACTGCCTCGTATTTACGAGTCCTACGTAGTTCATTAATTTCTGTCTCTTACGGTCTGAATAAATAAATAGGATTAAATATAATAAATAATAACATAAATTAAGCAAAAGAAATAATATATTCTGTAATAAGTCAAAAAATACTTTCTATTTTGCTATAAAAAAACTCGGACAACACACACAACTCTCTCACTGCTGCATGCGCATTGCGCAGTCTAAAGATTGCTGTAAGTCGCGATGTCATCAATCTAGGGAACGATAAAACGCCGTAAGGAGAAGTTTTGTACTTGTTAATATTTGTTGTCAAATATCGTAACACTCATTGCACTGTTAATGTAAATCACATTGTTCGTGCTTAACAACACCCACGTAAATGTGTAACTGATACAATTTTAATATTAGGGAATGTAAAAATGCTGTAACCAGAGGCAAAGAAAAATTTAATTACATGTTCTTGATGTAACACGCTTTCGCAAAAAAAACACCGGGTTTTAAGTGGCTTAAATCGTTTTAAAATTCCTTAATCAGAAAAAAGCGTTAAAAATTATGATATCCAGAGTTTAATTTTCATTTTAGAGACATGACACCCAGACCAATCGATGCAAAAAAAAGCATTTTCGAAGGTATTGCGGGTTACAGCATTAGCGTTTTTCAGTAACGATGTGAATTTATTCTGTCTAAAGGTACATTAAGGGCTAATTTGTGTTACATATCTACACATTTAGAGGGTTACGCACTTGACACGTATGTATTTATAGTAACATTTGATGTTTTCTTTTACTTGTAAAAAATGTATATGTTATTGAAAATTATAACTTAGGTAATTAAGGACGTCTTATAGTAATTATTATTTACCATTATAATTATTATATAACTATTGGCTTTATTTCACGTTCCTATAATAATACCGGATAATTATTTTAAAGTTTCGCAAATCAAAACTACAAACTCAAAATTTCACAAATAACCGCCAAGTAAAGGTAATTATAATTTACTACTAGCTGCTAAATTATGCCGATATTACCAGACCTATAAATTAATTATATGAATTGTTAATGGGTGAAAGTCGTACACTAACTTCAGTATAAAGTTTTGTTTACAACAATACTACTAATTAATTTCTCCTTACCTCTAGGTTTATCGTTATAAGTAAAATGAGACTACAGAAAATAAGCAATATCATTTGAATTCATATTTTGTATATAATTTTATTCCATTGTTCAATTATGCGTTACAAGTATTACTTTATTATTGCCAAATAAATATAAAATATTATTAAATAAATTGTATTGTAAAATATAATTTCTATTTCCAAAATAAACTTTTAATTATTAAAATTAATTATTTTTTAATACAAAAATTAATTATTTTTCGCAGGGCTGCATCGGTTGCGGCGGCGACATTACCAACCCGACAAAAAGCACCTCAAGATTTTTTAAACAATGTCATTAGGTAAGTAATTCATCAAATTTAATATTTTGGTTTTTGGACTTCTAAAAACCAAAATTTTAGTTACTTAGTTACTTAACTAGTTATAATACACTTTATAATGTAAAAGTTTAGAGCATTTAAGAACGAGTGACGCACTATGGGAAATTAAGGTCAGTTATGGACCAAAAATCAGTAACTGTTTTGTTTTTTTAGATACACCCAGGATACACCTTTCAATTTTTTATTATATGTAGTGGGAATTACGACGCTTTTAAACGCATATTCAGTTTTATTTAACTACCCGTAATTGATTGACAAAAAAATGTGCAAAATCATAAATCTCTCTCTCTGGTAAATAATACCCAACATTTATTTAAAAAAAATGGAAATGCCATGTCACTAAAATAAAAAAATAAAAATACTAGAGAAGAAAAAACATGAAAGCATATTTGCTATTATTTCGTATACCTGTTTTAGACTCTAGCCTCTCGCTTCTATCATGGCCTATTATTACTGTAATATAATATCTTTTTCAGAATCAGTGATGACTAGGTCCACGTTCAATAGACGTAACGTCTCCTCGTCAAACTCCTGTCGATTTTTAACATAAGGTTTTCGGTTACTGGTTATAACAATCAGAAGTACAAAGTAACGTGTGAAATACAACTTCATTTGTTGCAGATCCAGAGCACTTTCTTGCGTGGTGTAATCAAAATTTTTTGTAGTCTTTATTACGAGATTCTTGAGCGTCTTCTGAAAGCTGTCCGATAGGTAACACTGCAAAATGATTAATTATACCTTCTCCGTGAATTAATATTTTGTGTACCGAAGATGGCATATAATACCAATCATATTTACTGACGTATGTTCTTGTAATTTCCAAATAATATTCCCCAAATTTTCATAAATCTGTCATTATGCCAGACGGTGAAGCTTGATAGTCGCTTTATCAAAATTTTATCGACTCCTGTAATTTTAAGTGAGCAGGCTGCATTATAAAAAAAACTTCTCGCAGTGTTATCGTCATTGGTATACCACCTCCTTGCCGTGGTTTATCAATTATTAATCCAAGCTCTTCTCGGAAACGTCTTTGTACCATAATTTTCTTCTCTTGTTTCATTGGTTTATTATCGTCACTAGCAGCTAACCATTTTTGAAACGAAAAGAAATATACAAAATCATCTCCATACAGCGAATCCGTGTTGATAATCCATAACGAAAAGAATTTTCTATTTCGGGCCTAACAGATAAAATTTATAAATTATTCATTAGACGTGGATTAGCACCTCAAATATTACATGTTGAACTTGAAGGAGTGTCGGTTAATAATAATAAATAAAATAAAAATCCTTTATTTTCAGACCAATCAATCCATAGAATGTTAGCAACAAGAATACTTAAAAACTATGTTAGTGAAATAATTTGACATTCTACACCACTAAGGGACTATTTTTTTTACATGTAACAATGTAAACCGGCTGAGGATAGCAGAGTCCATCCTGTCTGCTATCATCCTCAGAATTCCATTGTCACTTCCCCGTATCCGCTGCACAATAGACGCGGTCTTCTTTCGTATAATCGCATAGAAGTCGTCCATGTGTGCATCGGCAAACATGCCCGAAGCACTACAGAATCGGGGAAGCCTCAATAGAACTCTGAAAACGTTGTTGTACTGGACTCGCAGAGAGTCGTAGGCCCGCTTTGTGAACCTGGCCCATAGACCACACGTGTAAAAACTCTGACAATACGCTTTGAAAAGAGTCAGTTTAACACTGACAGTACAACGAGTGAATCTATGTGCCAGCATGTTCCCACGAACCGACAACGCCCTGCGCTCTCTCTCGATATCCTCATCATCCATCAATTCTTCAGTCAAAATGTGTCCCAGATACTTAAACCGTGGAACACGTCTAATAGTAATTCCGTTTAGCAACAGCGGTGGTACATGAACAGGACCTTTGTTCTTTCCTTTAAAAATCATAAACTCGCTTTTTGTAAAGTTGTACTTCAAACCGTGCTCCACAGCATAAGCTTCACATACACGTAAAAGCTTCCTAAGACCTCCAATTGAAGGGCTGAGCAGCACCATGTCGTCAGCATAGCTTATGTTATTGACAGTGACGCCATCTATTCGGCATCCGACCTGCATGCTGCTCAGCTCCTCAATTAGACTGTTCACATATACATTAAATAGCCTCGGCGAGGTCAATCCTCCTTGTCTTACACCACAATTTAATGTGTATTCATCAGAATGAAAATTTGCCCATTTTATAGTGTTTTTCTGATTACTGTACCAAAACTGAAAAAGTTTTATGACTTCCGGAGAAACCCCTACTGAGCTTAACTTTGACCAAAGTTTATCATATGAGACTAGGTCAAAAGCTTTTGATAGATCTAAGAAATATGCATATATGGGGGTTTTCCTCTTTACATAATAATCAACGGTGTGTTTGACGGCCAAAATAGCACATTCGGTTGATAAGCCTTCACGAAAACCAAACTGAGCATCATGTACTTGTAGACTCTTACTAAGATGCATATCAAGAATTTGGTCCAAGACTTTTGCTGTTATTGTAGCTAGTGAGATCGGCCTGTAGTTGGATTTGTCAGATATATCTCCCGTGGCATTTTTTACTAATGGCACTACCACTGTTTTCATCAGCTCCGACGGTAGGTATGAGTGCCTTACACACAAAGTATAGAAAAAGGATAACAGTCTATCTACATGAGGACCTGCATATTTTAAATGTTCTATGCTGAGACTGTCAAATCCTGGAGACTTGCCTCTTTTCATATTATTAATGGCCTGTCTTACGTCTTCACTAGTAATTGATATGGGTTGATCGACATGACAGTCTTTACTAAACGAAAGTGAACTCATTGAAATTAATGGAGATTCTACTTTGAAATGTTGTTTGAAAATATTAGCAATTTCCCTTGGGTCACTTGTATCATCCACACTGACAGGTATAGTTGCCTTACCATTCAGCTGTTTCGTACTCTTCCAAAATTTATTAAATTTTTTGGCTGAATGCTGGGCTGCCAGTAAATCCAGCCGAATCTGTTCTTGATGTTGTTGACAAAACTTTAGTCTTGATTTGAATATTTTACGACTAAGACACATTCTATCGTATACGAGCCCGCAACTAGGCTTTCCATACAAGACATACATCTGAAAAAATACCCGAAAAAAAAATACCCGAGCTACTTTGCCGTCTATCATGGTCAAAAAAAGTTCATCTTTAACTTGAACGCCATTGCCTTCCTTAACAATCAACGATGGACTCAAAGAATCTTTTGAATATCGTTAACAACAGCTTTAGTCTTCTCTGGAGTTTTTATCGAAAACTCAATTAAAATAGGGCGACAGAATCTCACGGATGAAGGCACAGGATTTTGCCAAAAAACAGTACAAGTCGTTTCATCAATTAATCTGATGGGCACAACAGATGTGACGAATAAGTATGAGTCTGACACAAGTTCAGACTCCTCTGGAAGTCTTTGTTTACACTCACTTTGACAAGACGAGCCATCACATCCCCATTTACTGTATAAAACCAGCTGTTTTAATCCGTTTTTGTACACGGAATCTATCATCAATATCCTCGCCGTTGTGTGATCTAATAAATCCTGTAGGGATAACAGTTTTGCATATGTGTTTGTAATTTCAATAGCTGATGCACGTGGGTAACAGTTCTGTTTACTTTTTTGTACTTTGTAGTAAGGTGGTAGTAAGAAGCAGTTCCGTTCATCCATAATATTCTTCAAATATAAATATTGAGCCCTGGTCAGATCCAATGCAATAAATACATTGAATGCTTCTTGATCGCTCAGCGTTTGGATGGTATTATAGAGTCGACCATCAATTTTGGCACTGATATTTTTTTCTCTGCATCTGCAGACCTCAATGCCTCCACGATTTTTGCTTCATTACTTTCTTCCTTTGATCGCAGCCCTTGAATATATGCACCATAGATGCGTTCGAATCCATATTCATTAAGTAGTGTAGTATTTTTGCGCTTTTTTATTACTAGATTCTGAAGAATTTTCATAAGACATACATGGTCGTTCTTGTTTTCCAGTTGTAGTAGATGGAATGAAATTGATTGTCGTTGACAAAGTAAGAGAAAACTTTTGGAGCAACCAATCACTGTTAACCTTCAAAAAGGCTTCTTTCTTGCGTGATGCTTGGCTCCATCGACTGTTAAACTGTGTCAGCAATTTTTTTTTTAAATCACTAATTATCAAACGTAAATTGTCCTTCGAAAGTTCATAACAATGTCGTAAAAATGTTTCTAGAGCCGATTCATTTCTTCCACCTTCAATGTAGGAAAGTATTAGTTTTCGTCTCAAATATTTGAAAGTACTCATTTTCAAACGAGTTGGAAAAGTATATTCTGTAACAAACGACTGCTTGTTTTAATAGTTTTATGAAATTAATGTGTCAGAGCATTATATAGTAATGGTGTAGTGTGATGGTGCATCTATATTATCTTATCGCGTTGCATTGATAAGGGTATATTTCAGCGGTAGGACATTTGTTACGATTTCTTTCATATCTTTAGAAACCGCAAAAAACCGCAGATGAATTTTATAAAATTTTGATAATGAATACCTACGCTATGAAATAATGCAAGTTTCGAAGCTTCGGCAAGCTTCGCTAACAGTCAAAACCTTTGATAAAGATGAGTTCATGTCTCCATTTTTAATTACGATTTATTTTCTTTACATTACACAACGAATTTGAAGAATTTCAACTATATTTGACATTTACGTAAAATGTGCTTTATAGAAATATATAATAACACATAGCTTATCTAACAAAATCAATACAAAATACGACGCCGAAAGTTACAAAATATTACGGCACAACGAGATGAGTACGGGAAAGGACATTTTGGGTGTATTTTTATTAATCCTATCTAACATAAAAATACTTCCGTATAATAAAGTATGACATCTAAACTATCAAATATAATTAAATGAGTATTTCAATTAAGACATTGGTCAAAATCATTTTTGATACGCCGTTGTTCTACTATTTCCCATAGTGGGACGCGAGCAATAATTTTGCAGGCGCCCCGTTCTATATATATAAATATACGTTCTATATAATAAAAAATCGATGGCAAAAACTATTTACTACTAAATATGTGTTGTAAGTCGAGTTTCGTTCAAGTTTAATGATATTATTAGAAAATGTTTATAGCTTTCTGATGTAGATAATTCGATTTGCTTTTTGCAATTGAATTGCTTGAAAATGGATTGCAGGGAGTTGTATCTTCTCCTCTGTTCTTTGTGTAAAAAATGTTAAAAAGATTTTTTACATCGAAATTTATTATAAATTCCGTATTCGCCGTTTCTGCTCACGGTTTTAAGTAGAAATGGATCAAATCCCGGTGCTTTGGGTAAAAACCCGGTTAAAGCCCAGGCGGGTTGATTGGGCTTAACACAATGCGCATCTCTAGTCCTGCCTAATGCAGTTTTCCGTTAAGTCAATAGTATAACATCTCCATTCTGTGTGCGTTGACTTTTGACTCTATGGAAATTTAGTTAATGGTCACGTGTCTGCAATTTTGCATGAGTAAATAATGTTGCGTCGGTAGTTGCGGATAACATGCAGTTTAAGGTAATAAACAATTCTATACTTTAATTAATGACCACCTTACATAAAGACTGGCGCAAGAGTGATGAAGTTTAAAACAAGATGTTATATTTTAACTTTCTAGAGAGATTTGTACAATTCTTAACTAAGAATAATTAGAAAAGTT